TTTTATAACATAGATACATGCTTTTATAGATTATTATTGACCCTAGTTCATTGAAATATTAATATCTGTTTATGGAACACATATTACGACTTTTTATGTAATACGTGCTGTCAATTTTCTTTTAGATGGGTCCATCGAGCATATGAAAACTATACTCGATGTGAATGTTCTCGCTGCTGCGATTTGTACTCGCGAGATAACGAAATCAATAAAACAGCGTGGAAGTAGAGGGCACATTATCAACATAAACAGGTAATCAGAAAATATTATTTGAAATCACCTCAGGAATCTCCCATTTTCGTGCGTAGTATTAGTTCTGGAACACTCTGTATAAAAAAGATCGGTAGTTTCGAATTTTATAGATTTATAAGCAAATTAGGTACGATTTTCGATTGGAACGATAAATTAATGATGAACTAATTTAGTTAATTTCTTAAATATAATTGGAACGTACAAAGAAAATTCACTTTTCAATTTAATGGTAATTGTCTTACATTTTCACTTCTGAGCTAAGTAACCAGGTGACATTTACGTAACATTATATCAATTATCTCTCAATTGTACTTTGACTTCATAAAGTCACATGCATGTGTGTAACGAGAGCATGTGAAGACAAACATTAAAGATACGCCTCAGAATTTTAAAGATAAAGAATCAATGAGGTAATTATAATACAACAGAGGCAAGGAATGTGTTGCAGTAAGCAAGCAGTGTTTTATCGAGATGGATCAATGGTATGGAAAATTAGCCCTGGTGACCGGCGCCAGTTCCGGGATCGGGGAGGCTATCACCATAGCTCTGCTTCACCATAATGTTAACGTAGTGGGCTTAGCCAGGAGATTGGACAAGATGAAAAAATTGGAGGAACAAATGAAGAGCGCTGGAGGAAAGTTTTATCCTGTTCGCTGCGATGTCCGCAAGGAACAGGAAATTCTGGATGCTTTTAAATTTGTCGAGCAGCTCGGAGGAGCTGACATTTTGGTGAACAACGCCGGCTTGGGATTCCACGAAACTATCTCAGGTACCATACTGTGCTTTATTTATTGTTGTAATGTAGAAATCAGAGTGGAACGGGAAAGAGAGAGGTTTTGCAAAAGCACACGAGAGGAGAGGAAAAAACGACGACAGACGTGCGTAGCGATTCATTTTGTTCTTTTGTTTCTACTTTTCGTATATAGAATTTTTTATAATAATTTACTATTTGATAAATATTTAATTTTTGGAATAATTTTATAACAT